GCCATTATATTAATTTTTTGGTAGTGCTATTTGTTCCTTTGTTCTGCATGCCTTCTTGTGCTGAGTTTGTATTTTTTGTGCCATTTCTTGTCGGTTTCATCTTAGTTTTCACATATGCTTGTTCTGCTTGGAAGTTCATTTTCATGGTAAGTTGTGAAGTTTTAACTTTCTTTACCTTATAGTCTTAATTTTTCTCTCCATTTAAGAGAATCTATTATATCCTGTTCACCATTCATCTGTCAGTTAGTTAGTTATACTGTGGTGGCTTGTGAGTTGCTGTGATTTTGAAAGCTATGCCACCAGTAGTTTAAATACCATCAGGGTCACCCATGGTGGACAGGTTTCAGATGAGCTTCCAGACAAAGACAGACTAGGAATAAAGAGTGACGAACTACTTCCGAATATTTAGTAACTGAAAACCCTATGAATAGCAGAGAAACTGTCAGATATAGTGCTGGAAAATGAGCCCTTCAGATTGGAAGGCACTCAAAATGTGACTGGGGAAGAGCTCTCCTCAAAGTAGAGTTGACTGTAATGACACAATGGAGTAAAGCCGTGGGAGAAAAGCCCTTAGGACCTTCATTTGCTGATGGGGCACAACTCAAAATGAAGAGAAACAGCTGTAAACATCCGTTGAAAACCGGAACGTGGAATATACAAAGTATGAACCTGGGAAAATTGGAAGTTGTCAGAAATGAAATTGAATGCCTAAACATCGATATCTTAGGCCTTAGTGAGCTGAAATGGACTGGTATTGGCCATTTTGAATCTGACAACCATGTGGTTTACTGTGCCGGAAATGACAAATTGAAGAGGAATGGTGTTGCATTCATTGTCAAAAAGAACATAATCCAGATCAGTCATGAGGTACAACGCTGCCTATGATAGGATAATACCCATGCGCCTACAGGGAAGACCAATTAATACCACTATTATTCAAATTTATGCACCAACCACTAAAGCCAGTGAGGATGAAATAGAAGAATTCTACCAACGTCTTCAATCTGAAGTTGATCAAAC